GTCTGTGTGTACATATGTGTCACATCGATAATATAGATTTACGCTCACCAATGTCGATCAGTTAAATTCAATTTTTATAACGTACGTACGTACGTAATACATACGTGCGTACGTGTTTTGATGTTACAATATTTGTGTACATAAGCTAAACGCTGAGTATTTAAATTAATATGCTGATCATTGGCGCTAGAATCAAGAATTAATATCTAAATTAGCATATACAGATGAAATATTAAGATGCACAAGCCCCATATGATACATAATATTTAATTCCGTACATTATCAATGTTGTGTTCAGATTTAAGTTTTAGGCGTTATTTGAATGTCAGCCATCCCTGCGCCAAGCTCTTGTGTTTAAATTGTCTTTCTTGATACTTATGAACGAGAAAAATTTTTTTTAATAATACTGTAATAATATCGGACGTTGCTACATCAGTATTAATGGTTGGATATCTTGTTTTAGTTACGATTAACGTTAAAGCTTTTTTTTTTTTTTTACATGTTTATAGGGGTACAGCATATGTAAGGGAGCACTGAGTAAATGATTTTATAATTTTGAATACTTGAGGGAACTTATGTTGGACCAATGTATAATGCTTCAGAATTTGAATTAGTCCAGGGCGTTTGTAAATGGGCACAGTTCCCTAGTATTGCTTTATATAACAGTGATTATGATATACTGATAAACTTTATTGACGAATTTAAAGATTGAAAATAATATATATACTGTATATACAGTGTATATATTATGCAATAGAACCAATTCAAAAATCCTTCCTAAATTAGTATAAGTCTCTGAATGAGTTTTTAAAGGATTAATTAATTTGGTTCGAGCAACACATATTTGACCGATTTACTTTCTGCGTGCATTTTTTGTCTTCTTTTTTTTTTTCGTTTCTTATTTTGACAATGATTTGAACTATATATCCTTGTTGCATTATCTTTACAAAATATTTTGCAAATTTTTACTGTATTTTTGACTTAATTATTTAAGTTTTCTGATTTTTAATCGGGAATTGTAACTTTAGTAAGATGTGTATTAAATAATTATCAAGTAATATACATATATATGTATATATATAGTATATACTCAATAACACTCATAGGCTGATATTTATCTAATAATATAAAAAAATTTAATAATATCACATATCACACAGCTAAATCAGCTGGTATATACAGTATAACCCATGAAAAAACTAGAAAATACAGAAGTATCGGTTATACTAAAAACCGGTTTAAACACAACTTTTTATTTTATTTATTATTTTTTTTTTTATACGTCGGTATTTTAATTTTTGCAATGACTACAATATATCACGTTTATAATTTTTGTGATTAATCAGATCTATTCTAAGTCTATTAAATATATAATAATAACAAAGGATTCATTTTAAAAGTAAATCATTTATAGTTAGGTTTAAATATATATTGTATATATTGTAAACCAATTCTTGTGAACAAGGCTTTTAATATATTAAAGATCAAACACGATAACAATTGCCATTATAAGTCTTATGACTGCCCAAAATATATAATAAATTACCCAGGATAAGTAAAAATCATATGGTTACGAAACGAAAATACCGATATCTCACGATCTGTTTGACCGATTTGAAAGATTTTACCACAATTAGAACTGGAACAATTATTCTCACAACTTTTGTTAGGAACCAATGAGGTTACATAATCCCGTTGTATTCATAACAAAGTTCTGCCTTTACTATTTTTTTTTTACACTTCAGAGACGAACCACTACCCCTTAAATGATTCAAATGATCTTTAAGAGTAATTTTATAAAGAAGGCGCTTAATAATAACAATAATATATTACAATATACATTACATTTATAATTCTTAAAGTAGCATGTTAATATGGTTGAGTCACGGGACCGATGTTTGTGGCGTAGCAAGTATGAAAGTATACATTTGGTAAGATAACTGGGGCACGGTTATCGTAACGAGAAAAATAACCAAAATAGTATAAGTTCAATGCTGGGCAAGGCAAAAAGTATGCATTGGTTTTATCTATACAAAAATTCAATGCACAGGACGCGAGAGTCCAAATAAAGTTTTATGGTGACACGAACGGAGCCTGATTTTTCATGGTTATTCAATAAGATTACCATGTACAGTATATGCTATCAGAATTTTGGATGTTTATTGAGGTCAAGTAATTCCTTCTTTTTCTCATACAATCACTTTTAATTCTCGAATCATATCACATCACTATGATTCAATCTCCGATAAAATTTAATACTCAATCATATAATCATATCATGATGATTCAATCCCCGATAAAAATTTAATACCGAAATAATCATAAAATTTCAATACCGAATGATATAATCACATCGCAATGATTTAATACTCGAATTGAGGAAATTATATGTTAGGATTTTTAACTGTCTTTATAATGATGGATTAGATGTATGTCGCTCTATGCATGCACACTAAGTTACCAGTTGTAATTACGATTGTTATTCTAAATATAACTCACTTTTTGATCTATTATATACGCATATAACCAAATGTGACATAAATAATGACTTCAAAAGGTTTCATACATTTATATAATTGAAATCTAATCGTGTGCATGCGTATTAAAAAATATCATTAATGCAGAATTTCAGTTTAAGACTAGATTATAGCGCTTGTTTCGAGTGATTATTGAAAAATAGTAATCTAACTTTAAAATAAAATAAACTTTATTAAAACAATATAAAAATACAATATATATATGCTTAAATACTATAAAAATTTATCGTTACAAAAAGCAGTGCTTGTTGATGACCTAGGTCAATATTTTCTTGATATAGCCTTGGTTATGTAATCATATGACTTTTGATAATAGGTCATATTGGTCATATTAAATGCTTTTTTTTTTATTTTTTTTTTTATTTTTTTTTTACTATGGTTCTCATTATGTTATTATATTAAAGGTTATAAAGTTATCAGCCTTCACTATGACCAAATCACAAAGATCATATAGATCATACAAGTTATTTAAGGTTATTAGCCAACACTGTTATAAAATGGGCGAGTGAAATTGGATATCCAATCATAGCTATTCTATTCATCTAAAATCAAAATCCGCCACACTAGTTATATTGTGTATAATGATAAATACTATGTGACATATAATCTATGTGACATTCACACTTGATGACGTGGTATGCGACAATGTAACGGTCTTAGTATGAGTGACGCAGATGAAAATCAACTATAATTCTGAAGTCATTTGACGTCAATAATAAGCTGAATGATTGGTTACAGGAAAGGCCTCGATTTTGCTAACACCTTCGGATGATGTAAAAATTACGATTTTTTGATCTCTGTTATATCGTTCGAAATAAAAATCTTAGGTTTGTAAAAACTATAAATAATCTGGCTTTTTACGCAAATAGATTGTTAGGCGTAACATTTAGCAGTTTCTGCACATAAGTGATACAAATCTATACAATTGGATCTTTTGAAGTTTATTCTCCTGACAGCCACCCTGAAATAAACAAGCACAAATAAATAATAATAATAATTATAGCTATATATAAAAAAAAAAAATAATAATAAAATGCATATAAATATGCATTTGTCAGCTTGACCTGCTTTCGATATAGGACCAATAAGGGCAATAAGCGTATTAAACAGGTACTTTTTACCCTTATTAAAAAAAATTATAGAAAGTTCTTTGCATAGTTGACGTCACTTTAAGGGGCAACTCAATTAAGCAAACAAAACAAAAGCCGTTATTAGTCATTTAATTATTACATTTTCCGAGTCCCTGGACCCATTTGCCTCTTTTACAAAAGTTTTTTGCATAATAGTCAAACTATAATTCTTTTTCCAGAAAATATCTGTAGTTTCAAGTGAAAATATAAATATTAATTATTGTAACATATATATAAATTCATGTGACAATTAATTAAAAAATTTTTTTTTTTTTTTTTTTTTTTTTTTTTTTTTGTTTAGTTAGCAAATAATCGGGTAAAAAGTTTATTGACTATTACTGTATTAGCAACATACTATTTTAAACATTCCTATTCTAATTCTGATTATAAGATAAATTAGATATCCTATACCCTATTTTATTGTGGTTCTAATATTAAGATAAGTTGGATAGATACCCCTGTTCTAATCATTAGTTTAAAGCAAAAGTGCGACACGAAACAATGGTTAATCCGGTTAACTCTGAAAACTTTGGGGCATGTGAGGAATTATCATAAATAAGGCAAAATAACCTCCAAACTCAGGTTTAATATTTATTTATTCATTTAAATGCAATATTTTGTTTTGCTTAATTTAAATCTCTAAATGAAAATTTTCTATTATTCAATATAACTCTTTGTCTCGCGAACATTATAGGTAGCACCTGTGGAAGTACTTAACCTGAAATACATTCGTACTAGGATTAACGCCAAATATTAATATTAATTTCAGATGTATATTACAGAATGATTATTAAGACAAAACAAAATGTATAGGCTAAATACCAGAAATTTTTCTGCATATGCCGGAAATATATTTATAGTTTCGGGAAGTTCTATTGGCAGGGGTTTTAAAGACTTTGAATCGAATGTTTGTGTAATTTCGGATAACCCTAACTATTGGAAAAAATTTTTTTTTTTATTAGAGCTATTCTAACTGTGTAACGGTACAAGCTATAAAAGTTCTTTATGTTACATTGACACCGGGTTTGTGCGTGACGAGAATATGAAAGTAATGTACACGTAACAATATATAAGAAACCAGCAAGTTTTTTTTTCCTGTGAGTGAAAGCGTGACTCCTTTTTTCATGGAGAATCTGCTACTCTTTTGTTTTTCAAGCTTTTATTAATAGGTGAATTGTCTTTTTTTAATAATGATGAACCCAATTTTTGATTTTACGTGTATAAACAATTTTTGGATGGCCTTTTTCAACACATTCTCACCGTTATAAAATTTTTATTAACGTCAAAGATCGTAACCTGGCTTTGTATCTATAGTCTAGAAATTCTTTTTGTTATGTCGAGCAATGAATTTTCTCAATTTACTCGACCCAACACAAGAATTCAAAATCAACGAATTGAATCTTCGCTAAGTGAAGGGGTGAGAGTAGTGGATGCCAGTCGTGAGCCGCACAAGTCATTTTTTGTTGACATGCAGAACACTTATATGATGCAAACCAGTTCTTCTAGTGGGTAAGTTTTAATATTGAAGAGCACGCGCAATTTTGTTGTCAATACATTCCATGTACCTGCGCTTGCCAACATGAAAAATAAACTTTGAATAACCTTATATTTTTGAAAGGTTACCCGCCGATTGGAAATTCAAATTAGAGGTCGTTCAACAGCCCATTCGAGCTCGCGCTTGCGGTTACGGTAATAAGGTAATTTTACTTCTATTCAGTTACAATGAACGCTCTATATAACTTAAATTTATGAATTTCTTTATGTAAATGCTTCTAAGTTTCTGAAAACTTTTATAGTTTTTCTTTATTAATAGATTTATCTAAATTACTATTAGAAATATCACTTCATTTTGCACAAAATTAACTGTATATTATTTGTGTTTGATCTTTAATTAGGATTATCGCTCAATTTCCCCTCCGATTTTCATAAAATTAAATATTTATACGGCTTCAGGTCCCGTGAACATTGAGTATGCAATTTCAACCTTTATTTTAAATGTATTCTCCATTTGTTTTATATTTTTTCTCATCTCTTTTGTCTCTTTTAAATTCATTTTAATTAATTTTCCAAAAAAACAAAACCAAAAACAAAAAAAATATATATATAACAAAAAAATAAGAAATGTTGATTCTCAGTTTTTTCAATTACATGCTAGTCTATATGATCGTTCTAATGAAAATTGCACAACTGTCTGGGTAAGATCTTCCAATCCCCACCTTCCTCAAGAAAACATATTAAACCTCATTGGTTGTAGGAGCGAAATTTGTCATGTATACGCAGATGAGCAGGGAAACAAAGGGCTGTGGTTCATTTATGCCAATTTGGGCATTAGAACCGAGAATGATTATTTTCTGAGATTTCAGTTATTCTACCTTGGATGGTAAGTACGAAACATTATATGAGTACTGCCTAAGGAAAACCTGCCATCGGGCTTTCAATTATATTTTGTACTGGAAATAATCTATCTAATTCATTAAAGAATATGTCCGATATAAATTATAATTGAAGACCCGATTAACGCACATATATTAAAATGTAGATAATGATGTGTATTAAACAAATCCACAGGCAAGGACTTCTGAATACAGGTGGTGGTCAAATAAAAGAATTAGCTGTAGTTGATTCCGAAGAATTTAAAGTTTTCCGGAATAAACTGTTTCCGGGAGTTGTTGGTATGAAATTGTGATATGTTTTCTCTAATTTCAATTATTTTTTAATAAACTAACCGATTTTTTTCATTTTTATAGAATGTTCTCAACTCACTAAATGCTTTGTAAAACAAGGAGCTAACATTCCTTTACGAAACGAAGCTGAAAAATTAAAAAGTACCGCACAATCGAGTAGCGGTGAAATAATCGATACAAATAATACGAGTGATGTGGATGATAATTTCGAAAAAAATTCTGAAAATGAAAAATATAATTCGTATAGTATTGAAAATATAATTAATTAAAAAAATAATAATTTAAGCGTCTATAATATCAGTTTAATCAAGGGATAATTTAAGCGTCTATAATATCAGTACAATCAAGGGATAAGATTTTTTTTTATATGGTCAACTTAAGTTTGCTTTTTTTATGGTTAACATTAATTTTTATGGGTTAACATTAGTTTTTATGGTTAACATTAATTTTTATGGTTAACATTAATTTTTTATATTTAACGCACTTTTTTGGTTGTGGAGAGATTTAAGAATTATTAAATTTTATGGTTTTATTTCTATTCAGAACTGTTTTATTAAGCCTTTTTTTTTTACATTCATGTAAGAATTAAGTTAATACCTTTTTAATAATACATACAGGCTCTATTCATCAATACAAATTTTAATTTGTACCGCTGAATAAAGCAATAGTAAGTACGTACGTACAGTACGTATGTACATCAATGTGGATTTTTTGCATTACATTCCACAAAATCCCATATTCCGATCTCACTGATAAAATCCACCCCTTCTCATAATATCCTCTTCATCAATACTACTATAATTTTCATTGACTTTATTGCCAAAACTTTCCTGTTAATTGTATTTCACTTCGATACGGGAAAGTTTGCTTGAAAGATCATATAACAATATATGGGTATAATTTAATCACTTTAAAGTGGAAATATGAATTTTAGAGTTCAATGAATACTCAACATCAGAATAAATTTTAGGTACGTACGTACATACATAAAATGCCGCCTTGCCATTTATGGAACTATCACAATAACAATAACCCGTACTTTTAAATTTTAAATTCATTGAGTATTCAAACTGTTTAGACGTGAAAAAAACTTTGCTGTTAATGTACTGTGCTTCTTATCCATAAGTCTTTCACAATAGTTGTATCTCGTAACCTCACGAAAAGGAAGTTGATCAGAGCGTGACGAATAGTCACATTATTAATTGTATAACTATTTCTACCACTACATTTCATTGTCCAGTAGATTGGTACGTGAGTACGTACCGTACGCACGTATGTACGTACAGTGCCGAAAAAAATTATTCGCGGTTCCATTTATGTTATTCCAACGTTTTACTTAAAGAATATGTCTATATTTAAATATGACACAAAATTAATGTGATTGTTACAGTCAAAATGCGTGAATACTTCTGCCAGCAATATACGTACGTACGCACGTACTTTTATTAGGTCGCGTGAATATGCTTCGCATGAATTCAAATCATATTAGTTTAAAATTAGAGTGAGATGTAATCTAAATCTCATGACAAATATCTTTCACTAGAGATACGCCTTCCGCGTCACTCTTACATCATTTCGCATCGGTAAATTTTATATTTTATCCCGGGACCTAAATAAGCATCTCTCGCAAGTTGTGCGATATGTGAAATGTATGCTTTCGCTTTAAAATTTTGTTTGGATTGGGTCACAAGCGATTTTTGTTTATTCACATTTGATCTCGTAATTCTATTGTGATCGTTGACGCAATAATGAATATTTTTAGAGATGGCGTTTTAAAACCAGGTTAGATAGTAAATAAAAGATCCTTTTGTTTCAAAACAAATACCCAGTGACTTGATTATCATATGTTACATTAATATAATAGGCGCGTAGTGACAAACAATTGCATTTACACGTATCGCACGTATTTAGGTTAAATTACTCGATTAGATTTTACGTAGTTTCAATTCTAGACCTCAGCTTTTTCGATTACTTGTTTAAATTGTTTTTTTTTTATTAGTTTTGTTACTTTACTAAATTTGTATATATATACATTAGTATAATGATTTAAAAATAATTAAAAGTTTTTTAAATGATTACTTAATTAGGTTTAATATAAAGTTTTTTAATAATTTATTAGCTATTGTAATTTTTTGAATATATAATGTCGTAAGTGGGAACATAACCTAAGTTGATTCGGGATTTTTAAGTAGGTTTTGAATTTTTGGTATAATTATTCCATTCTAATCTAGGTGGATTCCGAATCTATTTCCATTGACAACATATATTTTTAATATTAAAGATAAGATTATGCTTATCTTTTTGAATATTTTAAAAAAGTTAAATTATATTTTTTTACAAAATTTTATATACAAAAAAAAAATTAATTGTAAAAAAGTATAATAAAATAATATAAAATATATTTAGAAAATTATTTTATTTACCTGAATAAAAATTTTTTTTTTATATTTTTAAGATTAAAGTGCAATTTGAAAAAAAAGAAAAATTAGATATAAAGATTTAAATTTTAACTAAAGTTGGGTACTAAATATTTTTACTTTGGTTTTTTTTTTTGGTGTTAAGGTGAGGCCTTGCTTATATTTTTATTTAGCAATTTATATAGATAATTGTAACAAAAACACAATTTGTATATAAACAAACATATATAAATTATATGCAAAAGTAAAAGCTTAGACAAGTGTACTAAAATGCACCTATGGTGTTCAACACTATAGGTCTCTATTTCTCAAAAACATACTATGTAAATGGGATTGGGTACTCTAAGTAAAAATGTTTAGAACCCCCAAAAACCTCATAAAAACTAAAATTGAGACCTTATGTCTAATCTGTATATATTAGAATATAAAAAAAAAAAAATTTATAAAAATGTATTCTAACTCTAAATTTATTAAAAACAATTATATATAATACTAAACACTATAGATATATTGAATTTATTTGTAATCTAAACCTACTAGAGTAGCTAAAACTTAGTTAGATTTTTATAATTAATATATAGTTTGTATTAATACTATATTAAATTTACTTTGCAAACTACTTGTTAAATTTTTGTTATATTTATTTTTTAAAAAGTATATATAAGTGTTATCAAAAGAAAACCTGACAATTTAAATATAGACTATATTTAAATTGCAGGTTTTTTTTTTGATGATACTTATATTATTATTAGTATAAAGTGGTTTAGTAGACTATATAAATAGTTGTAGATAAACTTTTTTTATTTTGGTATTTGTTTAGCTAGATTTGTCTTAGTATTAAAAGGTTTTTATTGTATATTAATATTTTGTATTGTTTTTTTATTTTGCAAATTTTTTATAATATAGCTTCTATAGCTATTTATAAATGATTATAAATATTTGTAGTAATATTTAAATAAATATTGGTTATTTATTTGTAATGTATATCTAGTATTTAAAGTGTTTATATAAAGTATAATAAAATAAAGTCTTTTAAAATAATAGAAAGAGAATATAAATTTAAAAAAAGATAACAAAGTGAAGTTGAATAAAAAATAAAATTTAATAAAGTACTATTGTATTAAGTTATATTAAAGTTGAGCAAGTTTTTGGTAACTATTTAAGAGTAGAGAGTATATAGATCATTTTGTTATATGATTTTGGTGATACAATAAGATTTATATAGAAATTGATAATGTGCTACTAATAAAACTTTTTACAGTTGTAATTAATTTTAGCCAAAATTTTATAAAATATAAATAAAATAATTTATCTATTATAGTAAAATTTTGAGCTATTATATTATTTAAAAAAAATATACTTATATATATTACAAAGTTTTTCTGGGTTGGTTCAAAATTTTTTGAGGTTATACAAAATCGCCAAATTTGGTTGGCTAATCCATATGTTAATTTTATTAATAAATTTTTATATCTAATCTTTAAAATTTTATATCTTACTGAGATTTTGACCAATTTTAATGATTTTACTATTATTAGAATTAGAAAGACCCACTCTACAAACCTTTTTTAAAAATTAAAATTAGTTTACTTAATACTATTTTTTATAAAATTAAATATAAAAAAAATATACCATTAAGTTTATATATAATTTTAAAATAGTATCCTCTACTCCTAATAATAGCAAAATAATAATTTGGTTGAGAGACTAAAGTTTTAACAGATTAGCTAATAAGTTTAAAAAGTTGCAAAAAAAGCAAATAGTGATTTAAAAAATTTGAATAAGATATAGTAAAAATATAAATATATATATATATTTTCACTATTAAGATAATCTTTTGGTTGGTGACTTTTTATTAGAAGTTTGATTTTCAGTTATAATAAGAATATATTAAGACTAATTTGAGTAGTCTATTCAAAGTATTAGTATTATACTAAAGGTTCTATACTTTGTTATATTTATATTCCAACTACAGAGATATTTATTTAAACTCTCTAATTATAATTTAATTATAACCTAATAAGAACCTCTAACTATAACACAACCTCATTATATACTAGATATAGATCTATGTGGTACTTAAATTTTACAACCAACTTAAACCTAATTATTTATTCTCAAGATAAACCTAATAATGTATTATATACTTTACACATAATAGTACTTACCTATTCAGTAATTTTTTTTAATTAGTATATATTGTTTGTTGCTATTGTATTTATATCTCATGCTACCTTTTGAAATACTATTGTAACACAATTTATATCTTAAGTACAACATTTCTAATTAGTTCTTTATTACTTTATTTTTATCTTTTATAAGGTTTACAGATCCTAGTACTTATTTTGTTATTTTTCACATTATACTTCTTTTAGAATCTTTAGTCTTCTAATACCAGATAGCTAGGAGATTTGTCTGCTCAAATCTGAGTTTTCCAAGCTTAAGTTTAAAAGTTGCCCAATTCTTGATCTATATTTTTATAGCATGTGATTTTTTCCTCCAAAGTCTTATTCTAGAATTTTTCACTAATTATTTAGTTACTAAAATAACTAAAGAATGTACAACTAGTATCGCTTTAGCAACTCCAGCAGTCTAGTTAGTAGATTCTTTTTGCCTAAAGAATTTTTGTTGTTTGAATTTTCTAAATTTTTGGGTTTAGTAGATCTGTCTTGTAGTACTAGGTAGCACTTAGTTAAATCTAGATCTGTTATTTTCTTACTTAGGATTTGCCAAACCAGTTTTGGATCTCTTAGACTATGATTCTAAAAGCCTTATTATAGGTTTGTGCTGCCTATACTACTTTATAGAAACTAGCTATTTTTTTCAATAGAGTTAAGATCATCTTAACGATA